CACCCATGGCCGGGGCTGCCATGCCAATGCGGGACACCACCACCTGGAAAATGGCCTTCTGGGCTGCGGCCGTGGACTCGCCCAGGCGGTTTCCATTCTCATCCGTGACGGGGATCCCCAGCTTGAGCTCTCTGCAGGAACAGCGGGGGTGAGGGGGCCCCAGGACACACGGGTTGGGGGATCAAGGGACAGGACAGGGACACAGCACAGAGGCACGTCTCCAGGGGAGATTGGTATCCTGTATTCCCCATCCACTGTCTGCGTAATAAGTCGGGGGGGTCTCAGCTGGACCCACATTCACACTGGGGGGGTCCTCAGCAGGGCTGGATGGGGATGGGGAGTTCACAGCTGGCTTAACCGATAACCGCTTGGGATGCAGCTGGGTGCTTGTACCCTCAAACCAACCCCCCAGGGTAAGGGATGCCAGCAGGGCCAGGAAGGAAGTCCCCTGCAAGCCCAGGGCACTGCTCCTCACATCCCCTACCAGTGCCTGGTGAACCCCAATGCGAGCCCGAGCACCCCGTCCCAGCCCAAGGGCTCACCTCTGCCTCATCAGCGGGATGTTGATGCAGTTGGCAGCAGCCACGGCCGCAAAAGGCACGTACCGGCCGATGATGGCTGGCAGGTGCTGGGGGGGCAAGCAGGGAGCACGTCACACAGAGGGTCTGGGGGCAGAGCTGGCTGTCCCCAGATCTGCCACCGTCCCCCTGCAAGACGCTGGTGAGTCCCAGCCCCATGGGGAACAACTGTTCCCTCCTCCCCTGCAACTCGCAGACAGTGAAAGCTGCACAGCTCAGGGGGTCTGGGGGGTCGCACATCCCCTCCCAGCCCTGGAGGGAGGCCAAGGGGTGAAAGAAGCCTGGAGAGACCCACCTGGGGATGGAGTGGGGCTGGAGGGACAGGCCATCTCCGGAGCCATCGCTGGGGAGAGTGGCTGCCCCCAGGAAATCCCTTCCCTCCATTTTCTTCCCTGCCCCAGGTGATGGGGTGAATCCCCTGCTCAGCTCAGAGCTCAGGGAGACCCCACGGGGAGGGTCCAGGTGCCCCGGCCAGTGATGGCCAAGGGCCACCTTACCTTGGTGAGAGATTTGAGCCCCAGCGCTGTGACATCCGCCCCTGTGGTTGCGCTCACATAGGCTGTCCCCAGCTGGCTGTAAGAGCAGGAGGTGACACCGGTAAGCCAGGGTCCCCCCATCCCACCACCTTCCCAAAGGAGGGGAGAGCAAGCCCTTCAATAGCACCAGGACACCTGGGTTCCTCTCCCAGCTCTACCACTAACCCTGACAGCCCCACTGGTGTCCACCTCTGGCTGCGCCGAGTCCCCATCGTCCCATCTCACAGCCCCCTGCTATTCAAGAAGCTATTCAAGGACCCCCCCGGCACGTGGTGCCCCAAGGACTTGGTCAGAGGGACGCTTACCTGG